CTTAATGGATAGACTCCACTGAGTTTGACTCCGACACCAATCCTCAGATACTGCATTTGCCAAAGAGTAATGTCCAAGACAGGTCTTAAATGGTCACTATCCAAAGACATAAAACACACACACTCGAAGGCGCTCAGTAATTAATGAGACAAGCCATAAGGAAACTCCCTCCGACCACTCCTGCGGTATGCAACAGAAGTCGTGACACCACATTCACACAGGACTCCACTCCATGCTAGCATTCGCAGGCCTTTGGGTCCCATCTGTCAGTGGTGGCAGTCGGTTAATGTTTTCAGAGTTAGGCTTCTGGCATGCTGAGATAAAGGGGAAAGCAGGTATGTTAGGGGATACACTTTCCCCCTTTAAAGCATTCATAATACTCACTTCTTTTTTATTCTGAGCCTTAGTATCAAAGCAGTTACTAATTCATCTCTTTCTGAGTCACCTCTGGGGCTAAGAATTCAATTAACCAACATTTTAAACACCTGCTACCCATAGCCAAAGCAGTAGTGGTGGGGGAAAAGGAGTCAGAAGGAAGGATAGTGTTTAGACACGGGCCAGCTTAAAACCAGCCATCCACACAGAAACTGGACACGTTGCCCAGTAACACTTAAATGGCACCCGGAGTCCTTCCTGCAACTGTGAGTAGGAATTCTGAAAATGATCTTTAATTTTTTAATTCCTTCATCTCTGATGTCCCTGTGAACTAAACAATAATAATACCCTTTTGCATTTGTGGAATGATTTACACTTTACAAAGACACACAATCTCATTAATCCATTTTCCCACTCTCTCGGGGACACCATGAGGCAAGAGAACCACTGCTTTGAGATAATGCTGAAGCAGCCTGGGAAATTCCACCATGAGTGATGGATGATGGGGGCTGACTGCACTGTGGCCCCCCTCACTGTGGACTTTTGTGATTAATTCACTCACTTGCTTAGGAAGTTGCTTTCCATCTGAGAAAATTAAAAACACCACTCTCTGGACAGGAATGTGGGATCATAAATGAGAACAAATAGAAAAAAGATTTATGCAAAAGCACAAGCTAAGCAAAAGAGAAAACTTAGAAATTGCTAATAAGGTATAAATCAAATAAGGGCTATTTAGCAGAGCCCTGGAAAGTCATGGCAGGCAGGGTAGATGAGGTAGGGAGAGTTTGAAATGTTTTGCTGAGCTCTTAACAATACCATTTCTACCTGAGGTGTCCAAATACCTCCAGAGTAATTTGGCTCACACTGTTCAGCACTTGCCAGGTTGACGGGCTCTACCCAGAACTCCTAGAGCTCCAGAGAGCATGCCTGCGAATTCTGGAATCTTTAGGACTGTAGGGTTTTTTCACCTGTGCATTCCTAACAACAATGAGTACAAGGGCAAAAATATTTGTTTAATATATGAGCAGGTAAGTGGGTGGGTGGATGAATGGGAGGTGGGCAGGGCAGATGAATGGATAGGCTCATGCATTTTACTGACAAAACATCAGGTCTACAGGGGTTGTTCATTTGCCTGTATTATAAAAGTTATGGGGTCAGAATTGGGACAACCATGTTTCTTTAATCCAATCTGGTGTTCCCAATCTAGATTTTCCTCCCCTCTATTTTTTCTTTTCAAATAAATTCTTTATCAAAAATTTAAAAGCAGTAGCAATATTGACTAACATGGTCTTCTTGGTCACTGGGAGCCATTTTGGGGGCATATGAGTGAATGCGCTAGTACCAACTTGATAATCAGGTGAACGAAGCAGAGTGCCTTTGCTGTGGCTACTGTGAGTTCATAAAAACAAGACAACACAAAGACCACCAGGTGCAGGCAGACTCCACCAACCTCTGAGAGGCACACATAGAGCACTACCCCGGGGAGGTTGACTCTATCTGAGCCCACGAAATGATGGAGACAGAAGACACCTGCAGATCCCAGGCCAACCTCACATCCCAAGAACAAACTCCTTGCCCTAAAGGTCCAACCATTATTCTGCCTCTGCTCAGATCCCTGGAATGACAAAGAGCACATTCCATTTCAGGGTGGCCTGCCTCTCTTGTGGAGAGCTCCACTTGTTAGAGTCTAGAGCTTTGCACTGTTTCACTTTCTGCTGGCATTGCTCTAAGGTATTTTCACTTAGAGTGCAGGTTCTTGGTTTCTGTCATCACAGACTCAGAGAGAGACATCCTTAGCAAGGTCTTGGTGACCCCTTTGATTATGCTTAAGACAGAATCATGAGTTGAAAAGAGGCCCCCAAAGGCTTGGTGCTTGCGGTGGGGATGGATGTGAGGAAGAGTAACTTGCAGTGAGAGGACATCTCATTGACAGCTCACAGAAGGTGACAATGCCCTGAGGTGGGGCTCGGTCTTTGTGGCAGGAGCAACTTAACACCCTATAAACTACTTGGCAGGGGGCCCTCAGGCTACTGCTTGCAAAAGCATAACCACATTCTTTAACAATTCCTCCCTCTTCTGGGACTTCTAAGTCCCTTTGGCAGGTGTCCTCCTCACACCATTCTGGCCCCTTGTCAGCAAGGCTGAGTAGAGTCCAGTCTTTGGGCCATTCAGTCCCAAACCTTTTAGCAAACCCAGAGAGCAGGCTTGGCTGGAAAGTTCCGTGAAGGTATGTGTCTACAAGGTCTCAAGGTTTAACGTAAGAAGTCAGTGTTGCATCCAGTGTGTGTTTGCCCTGACTAATGAGGACCTTCCTACATCAGCCCGACATTCCTGCTAGGGACAGGCCCTTAGAGGGGTCAGAATCTCTAATCACCCAAGTTGAATCTGTTTTCACCTTGTTCAAGGGCTCCAATAATGGAGTTGTCTTCTTTTTTTCTAATTGAACCAAGTCTAGAGTTTCAGAAGGCATTGAATAAGGAGGATCGACCTAATTTACCAAAGCAGAAAAACCATTTCATTTAAATCCCCAAGGTCTGGTGAGGTGATGCGGTGTCAGGCAGGGACATTACAAGTCCTCCCACACCCAAACATGGTTGCCCTAGAGCCAACCACGAGGGAAGAAACACCTCCTATCCAGCACCTGCTAGGACTAATGACCCGTTCCAGCTCTTCCTGATGAGTTTGCAGGGCCCTCAGTGGGCTGGCTCCTCTGGCTGCTGGAAGCGGGACCTGCTCCAATTAGAACCCTATGGGTTCCTTTTTCCCCACATCCTCACCAACACCTGTTGTTGGTGGTGTTGCTGATGATGGCTATTCTAACAGGGGTGAGGTGGAATCTTAGTGTGGTTTTAATTTGCATTTCCTTTATTGCTAGAGATGGTGAGCATTTTTTCATGTGTTTTCTGGCCATTTGAATTTCTTCTTTTGAGAAAGTTCTGTTTAGTTCACTTGCCCATTTCTTTATTGGTTCATTAGTTTTGGGAGAATTTAGTTTTTTAAGTTCCCTGTATATTCTGGTTATCAGTCCTTTGTCTGATGTATAGTTGGCAAATATTTTCTCCCACTCTGTGGGTGTTCTCTTCAGTTTAGAGACCATTTCTTTTGATGAACAGAAGCTTTTTAGTTTTATGAGGTCCCATTTATCTATGCTATCTCTTAGTTGCTGTGCTGCTGGGGTTTCGTTGAGAAAGTTCTTACCTATACCTACTAACTCCAGAGTATTTCCTACTCTTTCTTGTATCAGTTTGGGGTCTGATATTAAGATCCTTGATCCATTTTGAGTTAATCTTGGTATAGGGTGATATACATGGATCTAGTTTCAGTTTTTTGCAGACTGCTAACCAGTTTTCCCAGCAGTTTTTGTTGAAGAGGCTGCTATTTCTCCATCGTATATTTTTAGCTCCTTTGTCAAAGATAAGTTTTTTACACTGTTGGTGGGAATGTAGACTAGTACAACCACTCTGGAAAAAAATTTGGAGGCTACTTAAAAAGCTGGACATCGATCTACCATTTGATCCAGCAATACCACTCTTGGGGATATACCCAAAAGACTGTTACTCCAGAGGCACCCCTGCACATCCATGTTTATTGTGGCACTATTCACAATAGCCAAGTTATGGAAACAGCCAAGATGCCCCACCACTGACGAACGGATTAAGAAAATGTGGTATCTATACACAATGGAATTTTATGCAGCCATGAAGAAGAACGAAATGTTATCTTTCGCTGGTAAATGGATGGAATTGGAGAACATCATTCTGAGTGAGGTTAGCCTGGCTCAAAAAACCAAAAATCGTATGTTCTCCCTCATATGTGGACATTAGATCAAGGGCAAACACAACAAGGGGATTAGACTTTGAGCACATGATGAAAGCGAGAGCACACAAGGGAGGGGTGAGGATAGGTAAGACACCTAAGAAACTAGCTAGCATTTGTTGCCCTTAACGCAGAGAAACTAAAGCAGATACCTTAAAGCAACTGAGGCCAATAGGAAACGGGGAACAGGTACTAGAGAAAAGGTTAGATCAAAAAGAATTAACCTAGAAGGTAACACCCATGCACAGGAAATCAATGTGAGTCAATGCCCTGTATAGCTATCCTTATCTCAACCAGCAAAACCCCTTGTTCCTTCCTATTATTGCTGATACTCTCTCTACAACAAAATTAGAAATAAGGGCAAAATAGTTTCTGCTGGGTATTGGGGGGGGGGAGCGGAAGGGGGTGGAGTGGGTGGTAAGGGAGGGGGTGGGGGCAGGGGGGAGAAATGAACCAAGCCTTGTATGCACATATGAATAATAAAAGAAAAAAAAAACTGAGATAACAACAAAAAAAGAACCCTATGGGCTATTTTGCAATTTCTAAGCAATAACAGCAACCATCACCACCACTTCCCAGGGAAGAGGCCAGCCCTCATGATATGTGGTATTGCAAGTTGGCTGCCTGTGACTCTCCAGAGCAACACAGTTCATTCTTGATTTTTTCTTGGGAAGCAATTTCTCTTTGGATGCCTCTGAAGATAGTCTGACCAGAAAACCAGTGGGACATTTTTCTTTTCCTCTGCTGTTTCTCAGTACACACTCCAAGCTGTGCGCAACTGTCAAAGCCAGGGGAAACTCTGTACTTGCCCAGTGGAAGGGTTCATTATGCAGCCTCCTTTATCGGCAGCCATCTTGCAGCTACAGCCCCTCTCCAGTGTGTCATGGTTCATACCAAAGTTGTGGCCCAGTTCATGTGCCAGGGTCACAGCCGCACCAAGGGGACTGTCTGAATGGTCCTTGAAGAAAACACAAGAGCACAGACATAAAGTTCACATCTGCTTGGTCTTTTTTTTTTTTTTTTCCCTGTTCTCTCCCTACCTCCAACATTTACTCATCATTAACACTTGACTTAGTTGAATTCCCCATAAAGGATTTGAACTTAAACAAATTATTTGATCTATTTCATTAAGCTAGTTTGGGTTCTTTTCTCACATACACAGGTAGGATTCTTTGTGTCTTTCTATAAGATAAGTACAGCATGATCTCCACCCCACATCCTCAATTTTTCACAAAACATCATTCCATTTGAATGAAGCAGAAAATGCTCATCACTTCCTGGGAAATGGAAGTCCCATTTTAACCCTGATTAAGAGGCTGCTGATATGAAGAAGGCTGGAGGAAGCACGTCTTGTGGTGTTCTAAATGAGACTTGAGCAGGTGTGATTCACTCCACCTCTTCCTGCCCACTGGGTAGTGATGGATCTTGAGAAAGTTTGCAATAATTCATAGTAACAGCTGACCATGTGGAGTAATCTATTGAAAGACTTATTGACTTAAGGTTATAATCCAATTATGTCTCACTTTTGCTGGCCCTTTGTGTGGTCAGGTTGACCTTGGAAATGCATGGAGGTGTCTGGCTCTCTGTGCTGCTGGGGTTCACACAGGTTTTTGCTTGGTTGTGGAAGGCCATCTCTCCATTCAGCAAGCAATATATGGCACTCCCAGCTTAACAGAACTTGGCTTGGCTTAAAAGATACTAGGAATTAAATGAAAGTATAATTATTTAACTTAATCTAAAGTTAGTTATTAGTGAATGTGATTTACAGAAATTGTGCCCATGAGTAGAGTTTTGGAAAAGACCTGTGCATCATGGGATGATGCCTGGACCAAGGAAACTGTGTTATACTGTATTTTAGAGAAATATCACTCCTGATATAGCCAGTCTCTATGAGGCCTCTGGATAAAACATGTTTGTGTACAATCTTACATATTTGTTGGTGGTATTTACAACTGTAGCTGTCTCTCTCACTACCTCTTAGTCTAAGGAAAGAAAGGCATGCAAGGAAGCAAGTTTGTCTTAGGATAGATGAAATTCCTAATTAATGACTTTGTTTAGATTGTACAGTTTCCTGCTGTAGGAAGCTTTACAAATATGTTTCAGGAAATCAATTTTTAAGAAAAACACACATTGGTGGAGAGAATGTAGCCAGTCTAAGAGTGTAGAGGGTTGAATTCAGCATGTGTTGGCATAAAATTCAAGGAATTCACCCTTAAAGACCACTCTGCTGCTGCCTCTTTTGCATCAGTGAAAAATCACAGTTTTGTTTTTAATTGCCAAGTTATTTTACCTTCTTTCATGTATAAGTGATTGTAAGAATGTCTCTTACAAGACTCTGATAAACAGTTTACATTTGTAATGTGGAAAGAAAACACCAATCTCTTTACTCATGGCATTACTCCCAAATTAAGATGTTTTATTTTTAGGGCAATTAGACACAAAGGCATAGTTTTAAGTTACTAAAATTAATGATTTGCTCTATCTCAGAAAGATGGAGAAATGGTCATTGAAGTCATATTTTGCATTTTATGAAGATTATACTTCCTTCCTCTGAGATTTGAGAGTCCTTGAACAAGGTAACTCCCATAAATTTGACTTTAGAGACACAATAGGACAAAGTTAGTATAGAAATTTTTATCTGGTCAAGATATTGATTTTGCTGGTCTCATGAATTTTATAAACATGAAAGGTGCTGTGTGGCATTTTCATCCTGTTTGATGTTTGTCTTACATGTGGAGTAATCTAGGATTGTGTCTCAAGGTGATATTAACTGCTCTTAAATTGGTAAAAACCTACTTCTTGATAATTAGCTTTGGTCTTGACTTGAATCTCATGGTATATGCACAATTTGCATATATTTTTCACATTTACATTTATTTTTACATATTTAAAAAAAAACAGATTTCCCTATATGTTTTTAAAGAAGGACTCTTGCTAAAATGCTTCTGTGGAAACAAAACAAGGGACATGAGCTGAAGAAAGCCTCTTAACACTGTCACATGGGTCCTAGGATCTTTCAGCACCACACAGTGGCAAGACCCGAATTGCCAAGGTTGAATTCACTTTCAGCTCTCAAAACATATTTATGCCAGTTTTAAGTGGCAAAGTCAGTAGCAACTAACCATGAAACCATGAAACTGAAAATTATCCCCTCTTAAAACTTTACAGTATACTCTGTAAAAATAAAGTTGTGATGTGACTTGAAATTAACCTGGCACCAATGAAAACCAAACTTTTTGACTTCTACCATGGAGATCACCCACAGGGCTTCTGTGTTCAAAGAAAACTAGACAGCAGTCCATTTAAGCCAGCAGTTCAGTGAGTGGGTGCAGTCTCTCCAAAAAGCCTACCCAAGTAGGGCATGCTTACATCAATTATCAACCACTGCACCCAGATGAGGGGAAAATGTTTACGTATAGTCACTAAGAAGATTAGATTAGGTGGTATGTGGAATGAAAATAATAGTCAGCAGAACATAACTCCTTCCACCCGTAACTACATCGAATATTCACAAATGTTCTGTCTGAAAAATGTGGAGGAACTCATTGCTTCTTGGAGGGCAAGTCTGTGTTTATTTAATAGAGACGGAGGAACAGGCTCTGGGGATACTTCCTGCCTGCGGGTTGGTACATGGCAGGCACAAGAGTTTCAGTGTTGGGACATCAGAGTGTGAACTGTCAGAGAGGTTTACAGCAGGAGCCCTCTGTTGGGCAGCTTCCCAGGACTCTCCCTCTCAAAGTCATAGGAAGTCGAAATATTTTTCCTGTTTTATTTCCTTTTACAAACATGATAAGCCCATATGTGACAAAGTTACCCTGTAAAGCAATAAACTTTGTCTCTGCCTTCCAAGCATAAGGTTATTATAAAGACAAACTGTACACTGGCCAGAAGGTGTGCAAAGCACTCGCAGTGGTACAGAGTGAAAAACCTCAAACTTTTGGCTGTTGGGCCTTAGAGGCAGAACCATCAGAAAATCATTTAAATGGAAATATTTGGTAAGACCACAGTCCATCCAAAAAGCTGAGCGCTGAGGACAAACCCCCATGCCCAATGCTAGGAAGAATTCCTGACTTTTGATGCTCTGACCAAAAGTCCCAGTTGAAATGTTTTTCCATAAAAGGGGCAGATTCAACTCCACTGAGCTGTTTCGACATGCCCACTTTTTCTGTGTGCAGTCTGGGTTTTCTAACAGTCCCTAAAATGTTGTGCGGTATGTAAGATCACAAACGTGGCTAGAATAAGACCAGAAATAAATTTAGAAAGCATGAAAGAGTAGGATCTAACTTCACAAAGTCTACCAAGAGTTGGAATGTCCTGGGGAACCATTAACTGGGGGAGCCAGCTCCTTGGCATCCTTGGCTTACCATGACAACGCCTCCAGACTGCTCTGCGGTGCACATACTCATGATTGGCGCCATGCCAATGGTGGTCCCTTGGAAATACACCCCACTAGGAAACAAAAGGAAGGACCTTCTTTAGTCTAATGTAGAATGGATGCATCTCCTAACATTTCACGTTCTGTCAGACACCCTGAAACAGAATGTGCAAAAATGAAGACAGCCACATGAGGCTATGTTTACATGGGGCTTCTCCCTCCTGCCCCTCCCCCCACCTTTATGCTCTATTTTTCCAGTTGCATCATGGTTCCATAATTCTTGCAGCATTTTGTTGTCTAGACTCAGAGAGCAACCAGTCATTACTTTGTATTTGTGAGTCACAGCCTGCCTGGTTCCTGAACCACTGTAGAGAACTGTTCCTTTGAAACAATGCCTGCTGATGGAAAGGCTGAGCTCAGTCATGGAGAATCACTGTTCACTAAAGAAAACGCATTAGATGGCTTAGGAGAGTTTTTGCTGTCGCTGACTTTGCTTTCCTTTGTAACTCATTACAGTTCTTCCAGAGACCCAAACTCCTTCATTGTGGCTTACAGAAATCAGCAGAAGGGCGAATGCTCCCCTGGAGCCAGTGGAGAATAAGAATAAGCACCCATAAAGCCTCAGCACCCAGGGAGGAAGCTTCTGCAAGGGGGCTTTGCTGTAGGCTTCCTCCTCTCTGGAATCTTGCTCTGATCATGAATCTAATAGCACCGGGGGACTGTTAATCCCAAACTCATCCATTAAAAATTTAACATGGAATTTGTTAAGATTTCAAATGACCTATTTATGCTATCTTGATCACACACATATACAGATAATGCATAGATTGAAAAGTTAGATATTTTAGCTGTGGCTGATTGGACAAAGCTGACAAGTGTATATAAAGCTGTCTGACTATCTGTCTGTCCATCTATCCATCTATCCCAGTACAGTCCTCCCTTGGTATTCATGGGGATTGGTTCCAGGACATCTAAGTCCATGGACACGCATGTCTGTCATACAAAATGGTACAGTATGTGCAAAGAACCTAAGTATCTCCTCTCATATAATTTAAATAACCTCTAGATTACTTATAATGCCTAATACAACATAAACGCTGTAAATAGCTTCCTTATTGTTTAGGGAATAATGACAAGGATAAAAGTTTGTGCGTGTCCAAAAAGATGCATTTTTTTCCTTGAGGACTTTTGGTCTGAGTTTGGTTACATTCACAGATGTGGACCCTCAGATACGGAGGGTCAACTGTATACTTGTATTTACAGCAGTAGGCATTTCAGTCTTTATGTTTACATCTATATAGACCACATGATCAGATACAATGATACATGTAACAATGCAAATAATGAGGTTGAATAAGATGCTAATTTCTTTCCAGATGTTCAAGTTGGGCAGATTCCATTGAGGGGGAAATCAAAACAAAACATTCTGACTCAAAGCACATGAAATGTACTTTTAATAGTACAGAACTAATTAATGCATAAAATATGAGTCAACCACAACATCCAAGGGGGGAAACCCTTGTGAAAATGGCCAAAGTAAATGACGAGGGACTGTCACCAGCCTCGATGTGGGCGTAGGCATTTCCTAAGGTGAGGGTGGGGCAGGACTAGTCTTTCACTTCCCATACATTGTTCAGTAAACTGGACCTGACTTGCCAAAGAAAAGCATCCTCCGTCCCAAAGATGACCTAAGCTACATGAGAACAAAAGAATCACAGCACAAACTACTTAAAGCTTTACATAAACATGTGCCACTTCTGGAAACATCTACTTTGATCCAGTTCAGACTATTGTATAAGAACACTCTTTTCTTTTAATTATAATGGTGCCTGAAATATCTCACCATATGTTATGTGATAGCCATGCTTTCCTTCATTTCATATCTTCATGACCCTTTTCATGCTGAAATTTTTTTCTCGTTTCCTTTTGTCTTCTCTCAACAGACTAGAGACTCCCAACAGCAGGGAGTTTAGTGCTGGTCACTGCTATGTTCAAATCCTCTACAATGCTCTCTGGGTCCCAACAGGTGCTCAGTACATACTGATTAAAGAAGGACCACAAGGTCAGTATGCCATGCTACTGGCACTCTTTGATCTAGAAAACCAGAGAGCAAGAGCTTGAACAGAGGAGGAGTGAAGTTGTTTTGCTCTAGGTGTCTAACAATATTCACCCAATGTCTTACCTTTAGATCTTATACAAACATACATTTTTTCATTAATAATATAAGGAAGCATGCCTTTCAAAAGAAAGTTTACCCAGGACAACTTTATATCAATTTTTCTGATAAAAATTGGCCCAGAGGCAAATGTTTAGGTTTCCCAGGTGTTCAAAGGGATTGCCCAATGGATCTGCCCATTCCAGGTAAGATGGCAACTGCCCAATAATGTGGGATGAGAACTTCTTGTAGGAGCTGGTGTGCTCCTACAAAACAGGGTGCCTTGGAGCTGCACCTGAGGAAAGTGCATGCACAGGGCACTGTTTCTTTAGGTAGAGGGGAAACAGAATGCCCTACCTGATAAGCTGTGCGTTGTCATGGGATTTGCGAGGTAGAAGCTTCATCTTCCTCCAGTCTAGAAATTCATGCAGGCTGGTGAATGGGTCTTGGCTTATAGAGCATTTGTCAATGTCATTCCACACTTCCACACCCACCAACACTATCCGAATGTTCAGTGGTCTGTAAAACTGAGGAAAGCAGGCAACCTTGGGGGATCACATTGGTGAGAACTTAAAATGAAAATCACAACAGACTTTGTTGAGGTTCACTGACATAGGTGAGAACCACATCTTCTGTGTGCCTTTGTTCCTGTGGCATTAGAATGGAAGAAATATTTGCAGTACCAGACACAGTGATGTGTTAACTGGTCTCTCAAATGTTGATCAATAAATTTGGTATTAAAGTCATTGGCCCTTTTACTGTCCGCCTGAATTTGTACGCAAACACATACTTCAGGTGATTCACTGGTGATTTGAATGTGCACGTAGACATTACTGCTAAATGCTGCTAGCTAATATCCACTGTATGAAAAATGATGAGTGAATTAGCATCTTTCAGACACTTCAGCCAAGGACAATAACTTGTTTATTTGAAGCAAAAGTTTCTGCCTAGGATGCACTAAAAACGAATCTGTATAACTTTTCGTGAAAAGACTCAGCCTTGGCTGACACTGTCATATTCTGTTACACTACAGGCAACCTGGAAAGTTTAATTATATGAACAAGTCAATATCTTTCAGGATAATACAGGTCTAAGCCTAAAGGTTCCTTCTTCAGAAGCTTTATGACCGAAGTTAGCGCAGCACTGGCATCACAGGAAGGTCTGGTACATGAAACCCCTCCCTAGGGGCTTCTGACATACAGCATCAGGCGCTCTGCTCAGACTGCATCTTCTCATTCCCCTCCTGTCCTCTACCTTTAGGTGGTCATGACTTCGACCTACAGCCCATAATCCTGGGTCAGGGGAAAACACAAGTCTTCCGGTGGCTGAGGTGTGGGTTTGTCTTATATAAGCCTTGATGGGCGGGCAGGGTGAGTGGTCAGGGTAGATGTAGGGACTACCCACGGCCACCAACTGTCCCCTGTCCTAGATGCATCACATTTATAGAGAGATGGTGCTGAGGTCACAGCTGAAGGGCCAAGGACCTGGGGTCACCTCATTGCCTGTAAATCTTTCAATACCTGTGATGTACAGGGCGGCATGCAATGGAGAAAGTTCTCATCTTCTGAGACCCCAGGTAGCCAGGGAGAAAAATATGGCTAAGCAGCCAAGGCCAAACTCCAGCTGTGAGCAGGTTGTATTAGTCACTAGAACATCTGGCCAACAAGTAACCACGTCATGACAGCTCTGCATTTGAGAGCTAAACACCATTCCAATGCAGTGAGCTAAAGTACAAAGAACTCCCCAAGGCTGAGCATCTGACCTACGCTCTGACCCACAGGAGGCAGTCCTTGCTGTCCTTGCTGGTCCCCACAGTCATGTGGTGAGCACCGTGTCAGCAGAAGAACACAACTGGGACACAAACTGTGTCATAGGACACATGGATTGCAGAAGTCCAACTTTGTTTCTAACAGATAACAATAAATATTACATGAATAAGTTAACGAGACAATTACACAACCAAAATGTTGCCCAATAGTATGTTTTTAATCAAGAATTGCTTGACCTGTGGTATTTACTTGCAAGCTCCCAGTCCAAAGCTTCTCAAGCAAAATGAAGTTCCTGGAATGCCCTGACCTCTGCGCGCATGTGTTTGGCTGTGTCCTCTGCTCGATTATGTTGTCAGCTGTATCACATACAAAGGCCACTGTGGTCAGGAAACAGAAACTTAGGTGATCCAATGCCAATGTTATAGCAGCTGGCTAAGAGATGTCCCTAGCACCAGCCATTCTGGGTGGCTTCAAAGTTGTCATCTGAGAAGGGGACACTGCTTCCTTCCCAGGAGTCTTGAAAGGAAGTAGGAACTAAGGTCAGTTAACTAATCAGAGAGCTTTCCTTAAGAGTAAAGAGTTTATGTTTTCACCTATGAGCCCTGAAAAGTCAGTCACATGCCAGGCCAGCAGAATATGACACACAACCCTCCCTCCAAAATTAGTGCCACCCATGAATTACCATCATGGGTGCTGAACTCCAAAGGTTCTTCCACAGTTGCCTGTGGGTGCTTTTGGTTCTTGACAATGATAATGGCCACAGCTAACATGGCACGAGCACTGCCCTGTTCCAGGCTTGATTACAAAGTGCTTTCTGTGCCGTAGCCTAGTACTCAAAACAAGTCTATGAGTCACGAAATATTACTGTTCCGATTTTATACTCAGTCAAGACATTGAGGCTGGGAGGGGCCAGGTAAGTCACTCAAGACCTCAGCTGCATGACTGGGCTTGGACACAGGCAGGCTGACTCTGACAGCACAATTTGCACAACAAAGTAACACTGCCACCCTCGACCATAACTCATGGGCCTGTGCAGGACAAGTGGAGCCTGCTCAGCTTGGGGATCCCAGAATGTATGTGGATGCAGAGACACAGCTGAGAGACTCTCCTACTTATACACTAGCCTTGCTGTGGGCTAGGCCTGTCGTGATCAGACAGAAGAAAGATCAGGATGCTTTGGCCCTTGCTCAGCTGCTCAGAGGTCACCAAGAGGCTTGAGACATGGGGCACGTCGCCATTATTCCACTTGACTCTGACATAGCAGCCTGCCAAGCAATGGTGTGAACAGGAGATTCAGGGAAGGCTGGGATGGACAGCCACAAAGACTTTCTGGAAGGAGTGGAACTACAATGAGGGGGTAGAATTCCCTGGGGTTTTAGGAAGAACTGCATTCTTCAGGCAACTGTCTTGGGGGAGGTGAAGAAGGTAGTCACATGAGTGACAATGAATGAAGAAATTCAATACGGAGATGAGTCCTTTCAGACAGTCACTGAGGTTTGGCTTTAAAGACTTCACAGCTGGTGCCAACTTCTGGAAGAGTGAGGAGAGTGGGCTGGAGGGAAGGGTTAAAGAGGCACAGCTTCAGCATTTGTCTCCTAGGCAGGCCCACACTCTGCCATGCTGGCTGTGATGCAATCAGCCCCGTCTGGGGAGAGCACCTCAAGTTTGGCCAAGAAATACATGTCAGACATGCACTTGGTTTCACTTCCAGGGGGACTTCCTTAACATTTCAGAATGTCACCTTTGTCACTTCTTGGTCTTCCAATCTGGGATGTTCTTCTCTCGTTCCAAGCCTAGGCAGCCAAGCAGTTATTAATTTAGACTGGCCCAGCAGAGCCAAGATGTCAGCAAATGAGGAAGTGGCTATGAGGCCAAGACTCCCACATGTAGAATTGCAAAACTGAAATTTGGAGTGTTCAGAGTAGCCTGGGATGTCAGTCAACCAACTTAGATACACAGAATCACCTAAGGAGCCTGGGTAATCCCCACCAGGGTCTCTGTGGGCTGCTGGCAGTAGACAGAGACACCAGGGCTGGATGTATGTGTGTGCTCAGCAGATCAGTTCCGTCCCCAGAAACACAAGAACAGCCATGCTGGCACTCTCGACCCTGGTCCATCAGGACTTTTCTGAGGCCTTGTTCTTTAATTACCAGTGCATGTTGTTAACAAATCCCTGATTGCTCATTTTTGGTTTTGCAAACTAAAGCATGATAATAACCTAGGATAATACATAAAGACATATAAACAGAGAGCCGAACATAGCACTGTTTAAAATGGAGTTTCAGCAATCTCTAGTTTAGTTTAATATGGCTCGTCATTTCCTTTTATCTCCAAGGCCTAAAAGAAATCACACTCTCCTTTTTGCACAACCTGAGGCCTTCCAGACAACAGTCTGTCCTCCGCACCTTGGAATGGTGACCCGTGCTCTTATCTCAGATACAGAAATCTTCTATCTGTCTGTCAGTGCATCTCAGTCTTGTCCTGTGCTAGCCTTACTGGAGCACCCTGGACAATGTCTGTGCCAAGCCCCACCCCAGGCCAATCAGATCAGAAACCCTGGGCTGAGACTTGGGAATCACTATTTTAGAGAGTACACATCCAAACACAACTTCCTAAGGGTTTCTAACACCCAGCCTGGGCTGCAAGCCAGCTTTAACTCCTATACTGTTCTTGACAGATTTTCTAGAATCTAACCTTCACCCTCCCGTTCCCAAAGGACTCACTCCTTACCAAGATTTTCCTGCTTTGGCTTGACTGTGTGATAAAATCTCACTTGCCAAGAGTTGCTACTGAAAACACATCAAAAAGCATGGGTTGCCCATGAGTTTGACCTGCCTCAAGGATCCAGTAGACAAAGGCAATACCGTCCCATGATATCAACAGCCATTGTGTTTTTCTGATTGTCAGAAAGTTCTATCTGGCCATTGCTTCTCTCTGAGTGTCAAGCCAGGTCTCTGACTGCTTAGAGTGCCCCACAAAATCCCCGAGGTTCTAAAGCATTGTCCACCTGCCCCTCCACCACTTCTTGCCATCATTTAGACTCCCTGGCCTCTGTTTCTGCTTGGTCACAGGGTCCTGGGATCCACAGCAAGTGGTATGGAGTCAAGGCCAAGCCCTTGCTGGGGTCAGAGAGAGGTGGGCCCATTCCTGGTCTTGTCCTTTAATACTGCTTGAACATATGCAAATTCTAAGCTCTGCAAACCTCAGCTTCCTCTGCCATAAAAAATGGGAGCAGTACAGTACTTTCCTGAGTACTATGCTCCCAGCTCCCAGCTAAGGGATTTGCTTGTGCTAAAAAACACTGATCAGTAGCCATGTCCCTCATACATCTCTAAGTCCTTGTCCTCTTCCCCTCCTGCCCCCACTTCTCCTGCCTGGGTCAGGCACTTGTCATTTCTATGCAATAGCTCCTAGCAGCCCACCTGTCAGCAGCTCCTCCTCCACACTAACTGCAAGGATGTCTTTGTATCTTCCTGTGCTTCTCTTCCCTGCTTAAAAACATCCATTGGATGTAGAATAAAACCGATATGGCTTTGTAGGGCCTTGGGGCCTTCGGCAGCATGATCCTCTCAGCTTCATTTTGCAGCTGCCCTGACTGCATGTGCATATATTCACACACAAACACAAGCACACAAATGCATGTGCATACATGTACACACAAATGCACACATTGCGCACACACGGACATGCATATGTGCATTCATGAACACACACACACACAGAGGAACATGTGTGTGCCCACAAGTGTGCACACACATACATTCTCTTTAGTCATAAGGAACTGTTTGCCACTGCCAGACGTATGGGATGCAGGCCAGGCACTGTCCTGCTCTGCTGCTGGTGGAGATGCACACCCCCTTTCACCTTTCAGGATCCCTTCCCAAAAAACTCCCCCTGAAGTCAGAAGAAAGCGAGTGGGTCTCTTCTGCATCCCCAAAGACCTCGATTCATGGCATTTCTGCAGGGGCTGTCAGCTGGGACCATGTTCTGTGGCTTGTATGTCTGCCTCCCTACAATGCTGTGACTTCGAGTGGAAGAACCACATCTGATTCTTTCTGAATTTTTGATGTAGAGAGCATAGTGTAGGGCAGAAAGGCTTGTAGAAGAGAGGCACGTTTTTGGAAGGGTCTTTGCCTTCACTTTCCTGAAAACTGAGAAATTCAATGAGAATATAATGGGATTGCTTGGAAAGAAGGCTACAGTGAGGCACCCTCACAAACCATGCTGTGCAAAAGGTGAGCATGTTGGAGGAGCTGGGCTTGAGTCACTCTGCAATGCCCAGTGTCCTTACAGGCAGGAGACACAGAGCTGTTGGTCTGTGGTTGCCAGCCGTGGTGCATGTGAGAATCACTGGAGAGCTTCTGGAAGCACTGAGGTCCAGGCCCCACCCCAGCACATAAGCAGTTCCCCAGGCAGAGCCAAGATGCAGGCCAGTGTGAGAAGTCCTATTTTCACAGAGCCATCAGCCCTAAACAGGCCAGGTTCTGTCCCATAGGAGGTGTCAGTGGAGGTCAGGGGCTTTACACAGGCAGAATCACCATTTCCGTGGAAGGAGCAGTTTGTGAGCAAATATCCCCAGGTGGGGACCAGATTTCCATGGATCTTCCTGCCAGGAACTCGTCTTTGTGAAAGGCAGGTTTCCAAGTTGTTCTCAGTGAGGGATTCTCTAGTAGTTCATTGTCGTGGTTTGGATACGAAGTGTCTCCTAAAGACTCGTGTGTTGAAGGATTGGTCCCCAGGCAGTGGACCCAATCAAGAGATGCTTGATGGAGTCATAATATGACAGCACTGTTGGGAAGCAGGGCCTAGTCGGAGGAAGGATGTAACTGTGGGCATACCCTGGAGAGGTGTACCTGCCTCTGGGCCCCTTCCTGTCTGTCTCTGTCTCCTGTTCACCATGAGGTGGGCAGCTTTTCTCCATCAGACCCTCTGTGCCATGATGGTTTGCATCACTTCAGGCCCAAAGCAATGGAGCCAGCTACCCTTGGGCTGAGAACTCTGAAACTATGAGTCAAACAAAATCTTCTTTAAGTTGTTTCTCTCACCAGGAGGTGTGAGATAATGTTTACACAAATAATGTAAGTAAATGTAAAATTGATAAAATAAAAATTTAAAAAGTTGTTTCTCTCAGAAATTTGTCATGATGAAAAACTGACAAACACACTGGACTGAATTGAAAGCCAATTCCTGTGCTCTTGAACAGTGGAGCCTGTGCATCCCTTATGGATGACAGTTGGCCTGCAGAGCCACACTGGCACAGGGCAGGTTGCGCTGATGGGATCATCTATGGGACACTAGGGCTTGGGAGTTCTCAACAGGGTCCCGTACACTCCATAGGGGTTTGGGATCTAAAATGTTTGGGATCAGGAATGTTGGGAGTCCAACATTCCTGTAGGCTAGAACTCTGGTTGGCTAGAAGACAGCCTGGAAGAAGCTGTGACCCCAAGGCCACCATAGTCCAGACAACCACAGGCTGGAATCTCTTGAAGTGACCCAGGACCTGAGAACCCCATATTCAGAGGACAGGACACTCCGAGTTCCAGCCCAGGATCTTGAGGCAGAACTTGGTCTCTCTGCTTCAGCTCTCAACCTCATTTCCATGATTAGAGTGATTTAATTATCTTGAAAAGAACTTACCTTGTCAACGTGATTAGCGACCTCTATTAATCTCTGTTTAACTTTTTCCAGATCTTTTCCTTGCCTCTGAAACTTAACAATTTTAAACGTCAGCATTAATAACGGCAAGAATATCAATCAAGTCTCATCTTCGCAGCTCCTCAAATGTGAAGTTTTGGGCTTTTGTAAAATGCTTGGGATCCTGCATGTTTAGGGTGAAGCAGGCTTTCACCCCACTTAGCAATTTCCCCAGTTGGGGACTGCCTGAAATTCCCTGAAACTTGCCCAGCTAAGTGCTCAGAAGACAGTAAGTTCTGCAATTTTTGCAGCCTCGTGAATGACAGAGGCAGTGACATGTTTTGGCAAAAAGAAAAAGGACAACCAGAAGGCAGTCCAAAGCCACTTTTCATGTCACCGACTTGATGTCATCTTCCTGAGAAATCTTCGTTATATTCATTTTTTCAAATTAAATAGTAAAAGCAATAGAGGCTTGTGGCAACATGTCAGATGATACAGAAGAGATTGGATAAAAAGTTAATAAATTCCCCACTCTCTTCTCTAATCTCACTTTCCCAGATGAGAATAATTTTCTGAAAAGTTGTCAAACCTCTTTAATGCATGCATGTTCCCTGGTTCATAATACATCAATGAGACAATAGATAAATGCCGTGAAGATAATCTACATGAAAACCAAGTCAACATTAATTAAAAGAAAAAACTGACACAGTACCAAGCCATATTTCAACAGGGTGGCATTTCTCTGCCATGTCTATAACCTTCGTTCATTCATTTGTTCATTCATTCATTCTGGTTTAGGACATGTCATACATTATAAAAACTTAACTTTCCCCCAAATGTTTTAGAATACAGTCTAAAGCCATTCATCATTTCTCCCAAATAATTCTTTTTTAGAGAGCTTAGCTACAGAGAAGCTGTGTTTTTTTCTCCCCTGTAGGTTTTGCTATTATTTTATAACCTCAGATACATTTTTAAGATTCTATATTTACTAAAATCAGAAAATCCCTTTTCAATTTTTTTTTGTGATACATTGAAAAAAGGATAGGCAATGGTAAAGCAAGTAATAACTTGCTGAACCTTTCCTTCTTTTTCTTTTTTAAAACAAGCACACTGAGAAATTCCACCAAGTCCTTACCTCTCGGTTATCAGCAACAATAACCAGCTCGACGTACTTGGTCATCTTGAGGGTTTCTCTTTTATGCTGCCAAAAGCAAATGTGAACTTAATTTTCCTTAATGCTTCTATGGTGCTTCCAGAAAACTGTCAACTTCTCTCAGTCCAGCTACGAGCAGGGGGAGACTCCCCACCGGGCTCCAGCCCACCTGGAAGTGACCCCCAATCTGACCATCTTTTAGTGAAGCTGTTTCTATTTCTACTTAGTAAATACTAAAAAGGAATTTAACCTTCTTGCTGAGTTATCAATTTGTATTATCAGAAGTAGTCAAGGTCATTATTAAACAAAATGAGCTCATTAACAAAAGAGAAAACAAAACGAAAAACCTCAAAACTCTTTCTAGAAGAAGAGCTTCCAACCACACATAGGGCATGAGGTCACCAGAGACCGGACTGGCATCCAGCGTGTCCTGGGTGTTTCCATCACCTTTGGGGCCCAGAAGTACCTGCTCTGTGATGTGAGAAATGCAGAGGAGAGGACCCTTTGAAAAGGAGCTGTGTGATCCTCGGGGCACACACCGAGGAGCCCTTCCCAGGGGCTCAGGTCTTAAGACTGATCCTTTAAAAGTCTAGCTTAGAGGCCCTGGAAGACTGGGCGGGGGTGGTCTGGAAAAAGGGGAGCAGCCAGCCTGATGACTAGAGAGGCAAAGAGATGCTGGGAGGCAAAGCAGAGAAAGCATAAAGCGACAGCTGAAAACAGAAGCCCGGAGAGTTGGGATTGGTGAGTGGAACAGTCGTAATCAACAGGAAGGTGCCGGGCTTGGGGGTGTTCAGTGTGGAAATGCGGATCGCAATCTAGGCAGCCTCCGAAGTAGGTTGAAGTGGGTTACATTTTAATCAAGCTGCATCCGCAGCCTTCCATAGATTACGAGGAGGATCCCAAAGGCATTTTTAGGAGAAAGAAAGCAATTCATGGAGGGTGGTCCCCAAAAGCAAACACTAAAAACAAAAGGCAAAGCCTCCTGTTTCTGCAATAACACGCCGGCAGAGGAAGTGGGGGCTGAATTGGTCTCTGGTCCTCCTGCCTGAAATTGCTGGTTTATGACTTAAGCACACACTGCTTATGCTGAAAACTGGCATGTTTTGTCTCTTTAGAGACAAAAGCAAAAGGGACCAGAGCAGGCTTTGAATCAAAGTGCCAGTCACATAATCCTCAGGGAAACAGCTCTTAAAAAACAATTCCCCGTCAGTTCGGGATCTTCCCAACGGATCTTTACAAGAAAAATGTTTGTATTAGAGTGGTGTTCCTGCTTGCTGTCCAGCTGTGCCGATTCAAGAATCTAGGTGTCCCTGAAGGACTCTGCAAAGCTCTTGGAGGAAGGGAAAATTTAGAGCACTATGAAAGGAAGATTTTCTCATGCTTTTACAACGATGCAAGGAAAAAAAGGCAAGCTTTCACTCTATTTCCAGGCAGGCTGTATGGTGATAACTACAGATTTATAAAGGAAAAAAATTCACTCCTGTGGTGCCCACGTGTGCTCACAAAATGAGACACTTTCTCACTTTGGAAAGTGTGAAGGTCTTGCCCCTGTTCCTTACTGAGGGATCAAAGAAGCAGAAATCGCTTTTGCCCATGAACAACCATGAACAAATTCACGAATTATGTGGAAGGAAATATAGGTCTGGAAATGAAGAAATAAACCCATCTCCCATCGAAAATCTCATTGAAAGGGTTCTGGTTGTTTATACATTTATACTTTTCAGACTGCAGAAGGCGAAATCAACGGCCAGAGACTACTTCCAACTGGCCTTGGATCATCATTTAGAAAATACACAATTCCAGATAATGAAAACAAACACATGAACACAATTTTCCTGTCTCTGCAGTTTTCAGAGAAGTTCACATTTTCTCATGAATTCAGAGAACTGCAAGCTCAGAGAAGTTTAACCGCACCATAATGAAAAGCCACAGGGGAGTGGCCGACTCGCTGCCCTAGAGAGAGGCTTAAATTACCTCCACATGATTTCCACCTATCTAGGCTGTCCGGTTTATAAAAAATCTTATTTTTAATTTGTGATATGAAGAGCAATACTTGAATCTGGGTTGCTTGACTGAATTCTTACTTTTGGGTTTATGAATAAAAGCTCACCCTTAAAAAGGCCTCTGAAAATCTACCCTTCCCCCCATCCTTGCTCCAAGGTGGGGACAGAGGCATTCTTGCAGACTTGGTCAAGAGGGGACCAGTTCCTGGACTCTCAAAGTCATCACAGCCAAGTTCCCAGAGACACACTATCTCCAAATTGCCTGCCATGAACTCTGACACAGAGAACTCAAGTTAGGAACGCAAGCCGAGAGGAGGTTACTGTGCATTTCCACTGCAATCCTTTCTTCATATGTCAGACTGTTTGCACAGCATTCAGTCACCCCCTGGCATCTACTGGGAGCCCCTGGAAGCCAGGTGCTGACCAAATGACCAAGGTCACTGCTTGCATGAAACTCACCTTCTAGGGGTGTGTGTGTGGGGCGGGGAGATGGAGCAATAATAAAGAATCAACAGAATTAAAACATAGTCTGTGAGAAGTGCTATACAGGAAACAAATAGGTTCCACAACCAGGGTAGCAGTGGTGGTGGGGAGAGCTAAGTGAGCTGAGAGCTGAAGGATGAGGAACATCTCTTATGTTCCCAAGAGATGGAAGGACCACAGCAGAAGTCCCGAGCTGGGGTAAGTCTGGAGGGTGGCAGCCACAGGCAGGATGCGGGTGGGGATGGGGACAGGGTATAGGGCAAGGAGGTTTAATGATAGTCTAATAACTGGACCAGTGAAGTCCTTGAATGTGAGGTTTAAAAGCTAGCTTCTGGAACCACCTGCTGTGAGTACTCTGAGGGGTCTGCCTACTTCTACCTCAAAGAGCTGCAGATGGCTTGGGGCAGGAGTGATGGAGATGGCGGAGATCTGGGAAGATATGCAGGTCAGATGTGCTCTAACCTGGCAGCAGCAAAACAACTGCAGCAATAGTCCCAGGGCTGGCAAGATCAGTACACGGGATGGATTATCTCCCGAGCAAGGAAGAATCATTAACGGCTCAATTCCATGCCCAGCTCTAAGGTCACTGATGCCTAGGGACAAGTGGTACAAGTGGTGCCTGCCCTTCGCTATGAAGCTATCTCTACCACTTGACTGTGACATGCATGGGGACAGTACAGATGAACACGTCCATATGGGACCCTGACTCTAAGGCCTGGCTAATGTGTGGACCAGCAGAACTAACAGGAAATGATCCCATACAACAGAAGAGTGTATCGGGCTGAGTCCTGAGGCCAAATGGGAAGTAGTGGACTTGAATTCAAAAAGCCATTGGCACAGGGAGCTCTGCTATTTCTTTATCTAGAGTGTTCATGGATTTGAGACTCAACAGGAATGCACACCTGGAAACATGGAGCCTCAGATCGCACTGGCAGACATTCAGAGCCCAGGAGGTGGTGCTGTGTCTCTGTGTCCACCCTCCCCATGCTTAGAAAGCAGCCATAGCAGAAAGAGAACTTGATCTGGTCTCTTAGGGATGGTATGGAGGTAAGGATGATTGTGTCGGAGGGAAATTAAATATGCCCGCCAAAATTAATGAGTGGTTCTGACCAGTTCTCAAGATTTAACTACACACTCTGCATACACTATGCATTACCATTATGGCTAAGATGGCCACCGTCCTGAGGCTCCTACCAAACAGATATCTGGAAACACAAGGCCACCTGAAAACATAAGCAAGGGGACCAGTCCATCTCAGCACAGCTGCATGGAGGACACCAGCAGCATCTCCCTGCCTTGCTGTCCTCTGTGTACCCAGAAGCTCATGCAAACATTTCTTCCCAGAGAAGGCAGCAATATCTGTATCTGACTCATAATTATCCATGCTAGTGGAGGGGAACAATGGTAGAGGTCATCGTGAAAGAAAGGAAAATTCAACAATAATTTCCATTGCTTTTGGGATGTGTTATTTGATTTTCTTTAGTATAAGATTTAGTCTTTGCCTCCCTTATAGAGCTCACTCAGGTGGTATTCAAATTCATTTCCATTCTTAAATGCGTAGCCAATGGAGAGGGAAGGAGTTCATGCAGGTGAGCAGAGAGCAGGAGCACTTAAAATCCTTGGAGGAGAGCAGGCTGTGAAGTTCCTGTCTCTCTGTGCCCTTTCAGAAGTGACTTGGGCTCTCACTAAACCCTAATGTAGAGCCTTGTAAAAATGACAAGCAATAGCTCAGGTCTATACTGTAGCTGGTGTATACGATGAGCGTAGATTGATTCCTGACACTCGGTGAAGAAAGACGCCGTGTGTGTCTGCACACCCATCTCTGCGACAGTGAACATTTGATGGGGCAGGACAATGCTGGGTAAGGGACGTGTGACCTCTCCGCTGCATGAGCAAAAACTAGCCGCAGCTATGTTGAATTTTTTTTTTTTAGTATAAAATAGAGGGAGCGTAAGTGAGGCAAGTAAACACCATATAACTCTAATATGTGCCTTTCATATTTATCATAGGTGTTTTCCAGAACGATCTTCTAAGTAATTCCAATTCCTAAGTATTCCACTTATTTGAAAATTATTTTTTGTACCATTTGCATTATACACACACACACGGTTGAGGTCGAGGATGTGTTCTATTGTGCAGAAACGATCCCAACTATTTCTAGAACTCAAAAGGGCATCCCTGCCTGCCTTTTTCAATTTAAAGGTTCATTTACACTTCAATGTGCATTATTAACAGAACGGGCTCTCCCCATTTCTCTACAAGTTGAAATGACTGGAAATTACTGTGCCAATCATGGTTTTACAAAACTGTATGTTTAAAGAATTAAAAAATGGTTGGCAAGTACAGATGAAGTTTGTACTTCGAAATGAAATGGCAAAAATACTTGAGTGTCATTTAAGCTGTCAGGTTATAAATTGCATTATGGGGATAACAGGTGTCCAGCAAGGTGTTCAAAGCCAAGAACCTGTAAAACAAAATGTGTGCTCGTTTATGACTGCGGGAGCCACAGCTAATCGCATCTCAGCCGAGCTCCAGAGTCAAAGGCAAACACGTTTGAAGAGTAAAATAAACATGTGTGGGACTGTGGAGGCAGGTCTCTGTGATCCTGCCTCTTAAATCTGTCCGTCAGGAGGGGTCGGGGCAGGGGGCAGGGGGTAGGGGGAATGCAGAATGGAACCTTCCTGAGTGACTGTGGCTACTGGTGGGTATATATGTAAGCTCTGCTCCCTGGGGTTCAGAGTCAACTCCCCAACCGCTTCTACATCAGTGTCAAGGTGAGCCACAGTTCCTGATGGGAGACCTCTCCCTTCCTGGGATGGGGCGGAACAAGACAGGGAGGATTTGAGCATCTGCCATAGGAAATCTTGGGACTCCCCACGTTAGTAGGGAGGTTAGAAAACTATCACTGAAAGAACACGTGTAAAATTAGGGGAGTCAGACCTGAGCTAGTTTGGTTAGGGGAACAGACACCTATTCCCAGGTATGAAGGCAGTCCTAGGTATGAGAAACTGCTCAAATTTAGAAAAGGATTTCAAATGAACCAAGAATAATGTTCATGGAGTGTAAAATGTTAAGCAGTGATCTAAACAAATTAAAGTGAAGAAAGATAAAATGCATTCAGAGAGACATGAAGAGCACATTCCAGACAGTGGATGTTCTTAGCATGAGTGATATCCCATGCTTGACTTTAAAAAAAAAAGAATTTCTTGTCAGCTGAGGAACATGAAAGTCAAGACATTAAAAAAAAATCAGGAAATTGTTGATCATTTCCTCTCTGGTTGAGCTCATTTAAATTTAGGGCCCCCAAAATAGTGGTGAAGACCCCTTTAGTTCTTGCTAACAGTGCTCTGCTGTGGGCTTTGGGCTTTGTAGTCCACACAGTGAATAGGCCACTGTCAGGGCAAAAGTTTTCTGGGTTCCCTCAGGGAGGGAAGTCCAATTGTAAGGCAGACTCCACTGGCACATAACTCTTTTCAGTGTTATGGCAGAAGGAAACCTTTTGTGAACAGAGCCTGGAGCAGGTAGGTGGCCAGACTGCTCTCAGTCCCGGGTGTGGCGAGGACAGGTGTTTGCAGTGTGGCCAGGGTGTGAGAGCGACTCCTTAGGCAGACCACAGGGACAGGGACTCAGTGCATCTCTGCACAAGCAGCTGGGCAAAGAGTGAGCACTACCTGCACGCTATTGAGAGACCCTTACTGTAGGACAGATGGCAAATGAAGAAACTGCCCAGTGCTGTTTCTCAAAAGCTGCCAGAGAGTGGGTCAGGGTTTGCCTTGATGGGGTCCAACCCTGGGCCTAGATCATTGTATGTGCTCACAGAATATTTGAGGAATGGTCACCTTGCCATCCCTGACCCTGGTGATGTCATTTTACTCAGCATGTGATTATGTCTGTCACCAGATGTCCGTGCTCCTGCTCGGTGGGGATTCCCTTTCCCTAGACCCAGCAAACAGCAGCAAAACTGCCCCGAGCCCCCCAGCACTGGGTGTCCATGCCTCGAGCCCCCAGCTGCCTAGAAACACGAGCTTGGGTTTCTTTCTTACCCTTCTGTCCCGCATCTGAGAGGGTGCAGGAGACACGTAGTCCACAGGGACGTGTGGCACATTGTGGTGTGAACCACATGACCCCCAGACACTCTGCAGGTTCTTTGCTGGGAAGAGTTTGTATCTGTTGGTGGCATTTTTCATGGGTTCTAAGATGTAGGTCTTATTTTCAAACATAATAAGTCCCCTGTTGAAAAAAGAAATAAGAATGAATATTTTTTTAAAGGATAGATCCTTGTTTATGGCTAAGACGCTTAATGAGGGAGAGAATAAAGGAGAAATGTCAATTTATCTCTACATTCAGGCTTTATTAGGAAAGGACGGTCCTGTGCCATGTGTTTGCACTGATTCACTTTGCAAGGCTTTTAGAAAGCAAGTTTGAGGATGTTTTGCTTGAAATATTTTATGGCAAAGAATAGATTGCATTGTGCCTTTCTGGTTTTTTTTTTTTTCTTCTTTCTTTCTTAAGTCTCAAAGATACATTGCTTGGAAGAAGAGTCCAGAGAAAAGATGTCTCCTTGCCATAACTATATCTGATTCAGCAGACCCAACTCAGAAGGGAAATCATCCTTTTCTTTTTTAAAGAAAATTCTTATTTCAGATCAGGATATTACTTGTACTGATCATACATATTTCCTAAGTATTTGAACAGAGTCAGATACAGGATGTGTGCAAATGTATATATTTATATATTTTTATTTATTTAATTTGTGAGAGATGCTCAAATGAAAGGGCAGATCTAAATAATGAAAGTGTTTGAACTGTTCCTTGGAGGGTAAGGTGTCTGGCTCTAGACCAGTGGACAGCTCTTTACAGAGCTGGGCCCCATCGTGAGATGCCTCAGTCACACAGCTGAGAAGGTGTCCTCGGGAGTCCAGCAGCTCCAGGTTTAAGTTCTAGCTCTGCCATTTATTAGCTGTGTGATCTTGATCTCAATGAACCTTGGCTTCTTCACTTGCACAATGGGGACAATAGTAGCTACCTCTCAAGGTGACTATGCCATCCGGTGAGAACTTTTGGCCCAGTGGAGGACCCGGTCAGTGTTTAATGGTGGCATCTCTCTTGATTACTGAAAGGCTGATCTTCATGTGTTATTGCAAAGACTGACAATTTTCGGGAAGTCCTCTGCTTTGTTAACACATCTACCCATAGGAGTACAGGCCATCTGTGTCTCCCAGCATGAAATACAACATTCATAAGATAAACACACTTCTGGGATTGACAATAACAAAGGCAGAACTCTTTGAACCACCATTTTGGTTTGGGAATAAACACACAGATTAAAAAAAAAAATGAACAAATTTCCTAAACACTCTAACTTGCAGAGCCAGAGAGGGCATTCAGCCATGCACTATGACCTTTGTCTGACCTTGTGGAGCTCAGAACTGAGCCCTGATTCCATTAAGGAAATGAGCAGTTGCCCTGAGGGTATCAGCTTCCTTCAAGTGATAGGGAACATTGGCTTGAATGTTGGTTTTCATTTCTCTATTTCCCAATGTGGGATATAACAAAGTACTTTAATTTAAAATTTCGGCGTCTTCTTGATGCCGAAAGAGAGATTTTCTGGGAGAAATGACAGTTTGGTCCATTGACAGAGAACTGAATCACACACATCCACCATCTAGCACCTTCTATTACTCAGCAAGGCGCCTCTGCACTGGAGAGCCACATTTTCATCACAATTCATCTCCCTGTAAACAGACTCTCCCCCCACAGGGACTCAGCCCTTTTTGAGACAGGAACCTCCTTAGACTCCACCAGAATGATTCAGGCACATATTATGTATTAACCACAGAATTCTTTTTCAGATTATGTTAGCAGATTCAGGACTGAGGATGAGGCTCACAGACTCCAGATTCAGGGCCTTAGTTCTGATGCACAATTAATATTTGAGAACACCTTTCACCCTGAAGAAATAAGCTTGCCTCAAACAATCTGAGCTTGTTTCCAAAGCAGGGACTGTGGAAGGTGCTCTGAGGTCATTCATTACCGCTCATCTGTTTGTTCAGTCATTCACTCATCCTCTGCTTATTGATGGCCTACCAACAAGGTGACTGTTTGAACCACTGTTAAGTTTGAATGAAAGACTGAATTTGTATACTCAAATGTGATGGAAGAAAGAAGTTTGAATCGATCAGTTAGTTACTTATCTCTTTTCAACTCTTTTGATTCAACTGGTCCATTCACCAATCCTTTTTGGGGAGGTATTGTAGGCAGAAGAAAGAGAATGAACACGTTTGGGATGCTTGTACTCTGATGACAAGGACAGCACCCAGACAGGGAGCAGTGAGACATCAGCAGCCAGCTATGCTGTACATTACCAAGGATCAGAGCTCTTAACTCTTCAATGAATGGGGACCCAATATGGTTTGGAGTAACCAAAGAATTGCTGACTCTTTTTAAATTCCACAGATTGATTAAAAGTCACTGTATGTAGCTATTCTCTTTCCCTCCAAGTAAGCAACTCAAGTATCTCTAAGTCAATCATTTAGGCTTGACTCTGTCATGCACTCTGTGCTGTGGCTTGTGCCTTTCCTTGAGCTGTTCTTTATGAAATAAAATTGACATTTCTACACTTAGAATGGGTGATGAGGATGTTTGTTAATGTTGACTTTGAGAAGCCTAATTTTTAAGAAAGAGAACTTTAAAACACAGGCAAGGAAGACAGGAGAAGTGAAAACACTGAGGGGGGTAAATATAGATTTGTTAGAAAATGGAATTTCCTACCCTAAAAAGAAAATGGTACCAACAATTCATTTTCCATTGCAACCCTTTTTTATATTGCATTGATTTAAATATGCTGGCAACCTATAGTAAAAGATGTCACCATGCTCTAATCATGAGAAACTGCTGAAAAAGTTTTTCTACTTAGTGAAAAATTTCTAGAAAATTGTTACTTGGTCATAAAAATGTTCTTGCATCTCCTTTTATCTTTTGAGTCATCCAAAGGCCAGATGTTGAAAAACGGGGGTGAAGGCCTTCCCTTTGCACCACACAATTGGCAGCCTATGTACAGCATAATTGAATAATTGCTTTGGACTATCTTGAGTATAATTAATCATTTAGTTCTAAAGATTGCTGGAAACAACAGTGGACACAAAACTCAAGGACTCAGGGTTTCCAAGATGTAAAAATTTGATGTTCTCACAGCCCTCCTGGCCCCAAGTTAGATAAGGAGATGTAATTTGTTTTAAGTTGAATGTCATAGATATTCGGCTGAAAACTTAAAGTTGGAAGAATCTGAGTATAGCATTTAAATCCAGCAGACTTTGAGCTTGAGGTTCTTTTTCTTTTGGTAGAGGAAGGAAGGAAGATCAGAAGGGACTCTCTAGTGTTTGGGAAAGATGGAGGCTGTGGATACCCTCTCTGGAGGGACAAGGGGGGTGGACACTGGATCAGCCATTATGGGAGGCTGAGGACATCAGGGGCAAGAAGGCCATCCCTGATGGTATTCCTCCTACAGTTCTTGGCTGTGTCTTTACACCTATTGCTCTACTGGTCCTCACGGATCTAAAACTGCAGCTGTTCCCCTACTGTACCAGGTGCCAGGTGGCTCCAGGCAGAGCTGGGGACTCAACTAAGACCTATGTGTCTGAGGCTTGGGTTTCTCAATCCCACTTTTACCTTCCTACCCCAGCACTGTTATGAGAAGGACCAAGTGACCAGAACAGGGACAGGAGTGATTAAGCTGAAGTATAAAAGACAGGGGCAGAGAAACGAGCAGCTGCTGTGAAAACCGACAGCCTTCTGTTATAATGGAAAGTTCTGTTGCTTTTCACAAAAGAAATGAAGAGGATTCTGTCAGATTTTAAAGTGACTTTGTGAACAAGTAGAAGACAGAATCTCAGAACTTGAAGATGAAATGGTAATTAAAGGAAAAACTGAAGCGCTATTACTCAAACAACTCAAGACCTGTGAAAGGAATATGCAAGAACTCACCGACTCCATCAAAAGACCAAACCTGAGAATCATGGGCATTGAAGAAGGAGAAGAGGTGCAAGAAAAAGGGATTCATAATTTATTCAACAAAATAATAACAGAAAATTTCCCAAACCTAGAGAAAGCTATGCCCATTCAGGTACAGGAAGCCTCCAGGACACCAAATAGACTTGACCAAAAGAGAACTACCTCAGGACATATTATCATGAAAACAACAAGAACAGAGAATAGAGAAGGAATATTGAAGGCTATAAGAGAGAAAAAACAAATAACATACAAAGGTAAACCCATTAAAATCACAGCAGATTTCTCAACGGAAACCTTAAAAGCAAGAAGGGCATGGAGTGAGGTAATCCAGGCACTGAATGAAAATAACTTCAACCCCAGGATACTCTATCTTGCAAAACTATCATTCAAAATAGATGAAGCAATAAAAGTCTTCCGCGATAAGCAGAAACTAAAACAATATATGACCACCAAGCCACCACTACAAAAGATTCTTCAAGGAATTCTGCACACAGAAAATGAAAGCAAACCAAACCATGAGAGAACAGCAGTACCAAACCACAGGAGAAGAAAAGGCAAGGAATCAGAGAGTAACATTGATTCAGCTGCACACAATCAAACTCTTAGTGACAAAAACAACTAAATGTCAACTAAACACTGAATGTCAACTCCCCCATCAAAAGACACTGTTTGGCAAACTAGATTAAAAAGGAAGATCCAACAATCTGTTGTTTACAGGAGACCCATCTTATTAACAGAAATAAACACTGGCTTAGGATGAAAGGCTGGAAGATTTACCAAGCCAGTGCCCCCCGCACCTGAAAACAGGCAGGAGTAGCAATACTTATCTCAGACAAAATAGACTTTAAACTTACATTGATCAAATGAGATAAAGAAGGACGCTCCATACTAATAAAAGGTGAAATACACCAAAAGGAAATAACAATTATCAACCTATATGCACCCAACGTCAGTGTACACAATTTCATCAAACATATTCTGAAGGACCTAAAATCATGTATAGACTCCAACACAGTGGTAGTGGGAGATTTTAATACCCCCATCATGAATAGATAGGTCATCCAAACAAAAAATCAATAGAGAAATTCTAGAACTAAATCATACCATAGATCAAAAGGACCTAGCTGATGTCCACAGAATATTTCATCCAACTTCTGCACAATATACATTCTTCTCAGCAGCCCATGGAACCATCTCCAAAATTGATTATCTCTTAGGGCA